CCCCAGTTCTTGTATGTATGCATAAATCTATTTTTAAAAAAGCTTACTTGAGAAGTTAGCAGTGCACGTGATAACTTAAGGTGTAAATGATTAGTACCACAAGAGTTACAAAGTAAGGGGTGAAGTGTGTTCTGTGTGTCCACATGGGTGGGCAGGCACCCATGCACATGCATACCTGTGTACGTATGTGTGCTTGGCAATTGGTTATGGTTAAAGATAGTGCTCTAAGCTTGAACAAACACAGGAAGCAGGAAATTCAAAATGCCTGCAAGGAGATCAGTTTGGTTCACATGAGGGGTCCAGGAAAATAAGACCAGCACAGTAGGCAAAACATATTTTACATTCAAGTGTGTGATGGAGTTGGGTCTGTGCTTAAGCAAATAGTATCTTGAATTACTGTATATCTGGGACCATCGCTTATGGGTTATACTTTGTTCATGGTCTGTTTTTCTATGGCCAGTAATCTGCGAATGGCTTTTATGTCTTAAAGAATTGTTTAAACCAAACAAGCAAAGAGAAAAAATGTGGCAGAGACTACAGGCAGCATATGAAACCTAAAATATTTATTATCTTCATCTTCACAGAAAAGTTTGTCAATCTATATAGCATGTAAGATGGATTGTTGGGGCCTATTGGACTAGGGGAGACCAGGTTGGTAATGAGGGTAAGGGTATGAGAGTGGGATCTGGAAATGCAGGGGCCTGGAGGAAGATGGTGAATTTGGGAGTTGTTCCAAAATGACCACTGAAGTCAGAATAGTGAATGAAAGGGGTAAGCAACAAGAAGTGATCTTTGGTAAATGTTTGTTTATAGAGTGCAGAGAAGGAAGAGAAATAACAATGAAAAGCTGAACTATAAGAGAAACAGCAAGAAAATAGAGAATCTAGTGAGTGTACGATCATAGAACCCTTAGGAAAGAAACTTTGAAGAGAAAACAAGAGGTTCCAGGATCAAAGACTACAGAGAAGTAGCCTTTGGATGGAAAAGACTCCATCCTATCTGATCACCTAATACCTTTGCTTCCATTTATTCCATGAGCACATTCTCCCCCCATGATATCCCTTACAATTAAACATTTTCTTAGACTCTACAAAATATTTCCATGCAATTGTCTAGTCCTCACAGTAAACATCTGAAGTTAGTGCTACAACCTTTATAAATAAGAAACTGAGGCTCCATGAATACATTTCTTATATTCTTGGCTTTCTCTTGCCTTAAGGAGTCCTCAATAAGGATGTGGTAATGAGGCTACAGCTTCAGCTGCTAGGACATAAGTGACCCGTCCCTTAAGTTTAGCATCTCAGATTGTGTCCATCTTCCAAATAAAGGGAGAACACAGATTCCCTCAAACTCTCCCCAGACTGCCTCTTTTGTGTGTGTGGACATGGAAGCATCGTGGTTGATGAGGTTTAAAGAAAACTCATTTAATTGTCATTTCTGACTCTTCTGAATTGATGGACTATATACATATACTTAGTTGTCTAGTTGCAACGTTTACATCTACATTTTAGAATTATTACTACAAATAAGAACCAGCTTTTGGAAAGTAGGAAGGAAGCTCAGATTACTAGACCATAGAGTATAAAGTGCAATGCTAAAGCCCCTAAGAAGTAGTCAGGAGACAAATGTGTAAAAGTTTTAGAACAAAGATTGGAAGGAAAAGGAGAGGCTGTTGACTAAGATAAATAAAAAACCTAACTGAATTAGCATGGAATGATTCGGCATTGTGAGTGGTATAGAGATGTAGGCACACCTGCTTGGGAATAGAGAGGTGAGGGGAACAGGTGAGGACAGCATAGCATAGGTGGCTTGGACTTACAGCTAGGCACAGGTCAAAGAAAATGACACTTTAAAATATGCTTCCATGTAGATTACCCCAGGAGTTTGATCTCAGGCTAGTGAATTTTGGAGTTTAGCATTCAAATTGGAAATGAATGAAATGGTGATGAGGCGAGGCTGCAAGGTAGCTGTGTTTGAAGGGCAGAGTGAATTTTAAAGTCTGTTATTTTATAGCAGTGCCATTTTGAAAGGAGACTTGATTCCAAGGTGTGGCTGGGTAGTGGCAACAAAGTGAGCCTCCGTGGCCACTATGAGGTCCGTGGCTGGGAGTGGAGAGCAAGCTAGAGGAGCCAGTGGTGTGCAAATGGAAGGTGGTGAGGGAGGAGTGGGCAGTGCCCTCCTGCAGCTGACTCGCTTAGAGCCACTCATGCCACGAGGCTCACATTGCTTTGCTACCCAACACTCCTTGGTGATGGGGTATCAAGAAGGACACTGGCCCCCAAATGAATGTGCTGGTATGGACAGTTTTTATCTCTTTAATTCATTTTTTTCTCAATAACAATGATGGACTGAGCTGACAACTTATTATCTAGGGGAATATTTTGTCTCAGAAGGTAACAGGTTTTAAGATGTTGCTTTGATCCAGGCAGGGAAATAAGTAGGGGGCAAGAAAATTTCTTCTAGAATGATATGAGAACAGTAGAAAGTACTTGTACAAAAGGCCCTTTCAAGATATATGTTAGGCCAATGGCCCACAGACCCTGGTCTCACAAGGTAAAAATGCAGTTCTTTATTACAGAAGATGTTGGGATGAGAAAGGTGTCAGCTAAGCTCTAGAACCAAATCCCTTAGCAGAACTTGGGAAATGTTAAATCGAACTCAGAATATTATGCCCCATATCATTTGTAAAGGGAATCAAAAATAAGCTGAAGGATATAAAAGTAGAGGAAACCCGCCCCCCTTTACTGTACTGCTTTGTCTGTCAGCAAGCTGAGAAGTGACTTGGGCTCTGCAGCCTGACCTCTGTTCCCTGCTGTGCACATTGTAGCGTTCTGCACTGCCTCTGAAATGAGAAAACTTATGCCTACTTTATAAAGTGTGTAATACTGTCAAAAATAGAAATTAGTGGGCCTCCTTGGTGGCACAAGGGGTTAAGTGTCAGCATTATGAAGCTTACCGCAGACACTACAGCACAGCATGAGGTAACCCACATGGTGCAGCAGACCTCTCCTGTCTCACCCGCTGCTCCCCTCAGCAGTGTATTTCAGTAGATCCACCTGTTCTGTTCCCCACTGTCTCTGATGAATCCTCTTGCCCCTTCCCACCTCCCCCACACCTCTGGCCTGTACCCCAGTTCTTGTATGCATAAATAAATCTTTTTTTAGAAAGAAATTACTTCAATTACATTTATGATTTAGAAAATTCTAGCTTATTCCTGCCCAGATGTAGAGATGAGGGCGACTTATTAAGATCACATTCCTCTAGCCTACAGCTAGTCATATTTCATATTTCCTATCATGAGGTATTTCTCATGTTAAAATGCAGTTGACCTTTTCAGCAGGAGTCATAATTAAGAAGCACCACAATTAGGCAGAATCTCTGGAAACAGTCTTTGAATGACCCAGATCAGTATATTCAGCCTCATTTGGTTTTATAACTTCCAACTGTTTCCTAGGATTTTAAGCCTAACTGCCTTTCTAGGAAATTTGCAGGACTGCTGAAATGTATAGTTCTGGTAAACTTGCATAGTCATCATTGGCCTTAGCATTCGAAAACCATTAATTCTCATTTTGTTGTACAAATGAGTCAGGGGTCAGGAGTCACGCGCCTCCCTGACTTATGAGCTGAAAAGTCAAGATATAACCACATCCCAGATGGGAGGAGGCAGTGGCACTGGCATGATGGACAGAGGCTCTCCTGGGACCCAGCAGTCCTCACTGTGAACTCCCTCTAGGCTTCTCTGTCCAGGGCAGTCAGCTGTGTACTTAGAGCTGCGGGTACTTAAGGGTTAGAGGGGGGATCCCATTCTCCTTCCCTCTACTCTTCTCACCCTAAACCTAGAAGCTGCTATAAGGTTTCTCCCAAAAGTCCCCTCTTTCTGGATATGGGTCTTGCTTCAATCATGTTCTTTTTTCCTAAATGTTTGAATTCTCAAACTCAGAAATTGCCTCCCCCCCACCCCCCGCCCTGCAGTTTCAGTGAGCCCTTGTGTGTCCCAGCCCCTGTGCGAGGCATCGGAAACACCATTATGAACAAGATGATGCTAGTCCTGCCTTTTGAGACCAATGAAAACCTAATTGTGGCCACTGTGCAGGTTTAAACTCTGCTTCCTCTGTTGGCAACTGGGCTCAAATGACCTTTGAGAATAGTCTTTGCTTGCTGGTGTCTGCCAGGAAGCTGCTGGGGGTTGAGGAGTGAGGGATGACTCACTACCTTCACTTCAATAAGACAATTTCTGAATAAAAATTAAATGCCACAGAGACTAAACACCACTGGTTTTAAGTCCTAGTCTTTGATTTACTAATCCATGTGAGTTTGAGTTTCTTCATCTGTAAGGCAAGTATAGTGATTGTCATCTCTCTCCTCAGAATAGTTGCAAAGCTCACGTAAGTTAATAGAGGTAAAGATTTAACAGCCAGCCCTACACAAAGAAAATGCACATTAGATGTTAGCTTATGTGATTTTGTTCACCCTCACAGAGGGTCTTTCATTATACTATGTTAATAAGACACTTTTCCCAAATGTAAGAAAGCTTTCAATAGGTATTGGAGAACACTTCAGAAACTGCAGAAGTTTCCAGCATTCTTTGCATACCTTTCTCCATTTTGTGACTGTACAAATTACCCTGTTAGCTTGTAGCCTGTGTCACCAAGCTCTCTGACAATAAGCATAAGTGATTATTCACATGCAAAGATGCTAAGAGAGGATCAACTGAAACATCTTCTAGAAGGAAACCTATTTTCTCTCATTTGAGGCCATCAGAAGCCTAGGGTGATTTTCAAAAGGAAATGATGCTAAAATCCTACTGCAAACACTTCATTAAATCCGGGCAGAAAAAGCAGTGTCTTAGCTCCTGGGAAGAGGAAACTATGGGAGCCAGTGGAGCTTGAGGATGGTTGGCCAGGAAGAATAAACATTTGGTGCAGGATTCAAGAAAAGGTTTATGGAGACAGAGGGAATGTGGAGAGGGCTCTGCCATTATGGGAAAGATGGTTACATACCAGTTCCTTCTTCTTCATGCACTCCATGAGGATGATGAACAGATGCTGAGCTTGGGTGCGAGTGTATGTGAAGGTTTTCTGGATGGTCACTAACAGCTGGTCCCTCAAAGACTCATTTATAAGTCTGCAATGAAAAACAAGGTCACGAACAGATCAATCCAGCTCCTATTCAGCACAGATTTCTGAGAAATATTACAGAACACACGAAAGAATTAGGGTGTGGTGACATCTGAGGAGGTGATTCTGTGGCTTTGAATCACATACAGTATTAGAAATTAATGTTACCACAATAAAAATTGCTAAGCAAGGCATTTGATGATTTACTGTAGATAGGAGTTATTTCTTACTGCATTTTTCTCAAAAACTTATTTTTACTGTGAAAATGAAAAAATATGCATTTAAAAATCTTTTTTAAATGTCTCAGCATCCAAGTGCAAGGCAAGAAGATCGATTTAGTTCTTTTTTGGTCTCTCTTCTGTCTCTCTTCCTTTCTTTCACATGGCCTGTGTCTAATGCCCTCTTCCTTGGCATCTTCAATTCAGCTTTTGCCTCTTGGTAAGAATTTACTACATTATTTACCATCAAAATATATTTCAAACTCAAATTTTCAGTCTAGTTAGGAAAACAAAGGTTTATCTCTGTAATGAATTTTTGAGCCTCAGTTGCATGGGACAGAACATATATTTCCTCAAAAATTATTCCATGTGGGTGGTAGCTTATGTGGCTTCTGACTTGGGTCATTATTTTTATGTCAACTTTTGCTGTGTAATAGTCAACTGATGTCTGACCTAAAAGGAAGTATCATATTGACTCTTTTATTAGTTTTCATACTATAGAGGACTGAAGAAAAGCAAGGAAAATATATCATATCCAATCCGGGCTCAATTATCTCTTGAAAGTGGGCCAACCTCATCATCTGACTTAGAACTAGGCTATCTCTACTAGCCATCGCATGGAGAACAAAAATTCACTTTATGAATGCTGTACAAAATTAAGATAAAACTGCTCCGCAGGACCAGCGGCAAAATCACTAAAATTTGTATTTTAGTTTCAAAATTGAAGTACCACGGGAACTCTTATATACAATAGTAAAACAAAATGATTATTTCATTTGGTGCTTATAGCCTCCCCTTTGGCACGAGATTTGTACAATTTATAAGGGAAGGCTGCCTTGGCCAGAAAATCATCCACTTAAGATTACTCAGCAAGTAGGTTGCAGAGCCAGAGCTAGAACTACCGCTTCTGATTCTTTGTCCAGTACTGTTTCCATGACCCCATGTGCCTCTTATTTCACCAGGTGCACTACACCACTGCCTCTCGTCACCATGGGGACTTGGGCAGGAAAGAAATGAAATTTCTTTTAACTCAAAAACATAACAAATTTTGTTGCTTAAAAGAAAGCAAGATGGGAGACACAAGAATGCCTTCTTGTTTGTGGCCTATTGTGTCCCAGGGTGGTGTGAAGATTCATTTGAACCCACTAGTATGGATATAAGGGTGGCTCTGTTTTGAGGAGAGGAGGGTACATTCCCCATGACAGAATTTTCCCAAGGATGCTAGAAAGTCGCTCAGCCACATCAAGGATTGGATGACCCTTTCTCCCTCCCTTCTTGCTAGAAGGTTTGTATCACAAAGATACACTTTAAGAAAAAGAACATGATCCACATCACATTGAAAAATGATACCAGATTCTCTCTCAAGATTACTAAGTTATTCTGGAGGATGCTATGGCCCTAGCGTGGACCAGTCTGAAACCAATCATTCCACCATCGCTTAGTGATGTCTATTTAGTGCCAGACACTGTGGCACATTCCAGGGATACAGGAATAGCTGAGATATGCCCTCCCAACTTTCAGTGAGCTTACACACCAGTGGGTAGAAAGACATGAACTGGCATTCATCGTTGACTTGACGGTCAATTAGTAAAGAAGCTTGAATATCATATAGACAGATGAATATCATACAAAAAGTGGCTTCAGAAAAGACTCTTCTGAAGAAGTGCTGTTTATCTGACACTTGAAGAATGAATGAACATTAGCAAGGTTGGGAGCTGGTGGGGCTGGGTAAGCACATTCTTGGCAGACAAAACGGCATGAGCATGCCAAGTCTGGAGGAAATAAAAGAAGGTCAGGATGGCTGGAGCTTAGAGAGCAAAAGGAAGAGTGGAACAAGATGGGGTTACAGAAAGGTGAGCAGGGAAGAGATCATGAGGGATTTTGGAGATCATGTTAGAGATTTTAGATTTTATCTCCCAGGCAATGAGAAGTCATTGAAGGCTTTAATTTGAAGAGTGATATGATTACATATGTGTTGCCCATTAATTTTCATAAAAGAGTTAAGACATGAGCACATGTCTATTTGACAGGTAATCCATGTGGGTGGGTCTAGAGTGTTCTTCAATATCAAGTGAACATAAATGTTGTACATGATTAACAACAGAGAGATTTTCCTGATTGGCCACTTGGTAGATCCAATCATTTGTCTGCAGGTGTTTAATTTTGATAATAACTAAAAAAATTTTTTCCCATCGTTAGCCATCTGTACTGAAACCCCAATTCCCTGAGGTCATTAAATATTTGAAGAATCTGTTACTTGTATCCAGTCTGTCCCTTGGTAAAAGCTGAGAAATTATGTGCCACTTAGCTGGTTGTGGACCTCAGTGACTAAGGAAGCTGAAAGACACTGAAAATCTTAGTTTTTTAGCCCAGTTTTGTAACTGACTAAAGCTTTGGCTTTGGCTAAATACTTTATCAACAAGAACCGTGGAATAGTAGAGTAGAATTGGTGTGGAATGTCCTCTATGTGGCATAAAGTCTTCCTCTATCTTCTCCCAGGATCCTTCCTTATTTTGTGGCCATATTCCTTAGGATTTTTTTGAATCTTACATTCTGGAAATGACTGTTCAGGTCTTCCCATTTTTTCCCTTCACAGCACAAATGATTAAAAAAATCTAATTGTGATATTTTGGTTATTGGCAGGAATTGAAATAAATTAATTTTATATTTCCTTTTATGGCACTAAATAGTAGTAGAACTTTTTTTTTAAAGATTTATTTTATACAAGAACCGGGATACAGGCCAGATGCGTGGGAGAGTGAGAGGATTCACCAGAGACAGAGCAGGGAACAGAACAGGCAGACTGACGAAATATACTGCTGAGGGGAGCAGCGGGCAAGACAAGAGAGGTCTTCTCACCATGTGGGTTGCTCCGAGGCCGGCGGGGATCGACACTGCACTGCAGAGGCTGCGGACAGCTTCACAGCACTGCGCTTAACCACCTGCGCCACCAGGGAGGCCCAGTAGTAGAACATTTCTTGACAGCAAGACATGGTCATAGTAATATGTAAAATTTTAGTTCTAGAGTTGGATCTTTGACAGAGTAGATCCTATTTATAGAAACTGTTCATTTGTGGCTCCAAATATACCAATAATATTTTTGGTACTACTGAAATTAGAGGATTTTTTGATTTAGAAAGTGTAGTCATTAAAGCAAGGAAAATATACTATGGCCTTTGTGTCTCCATTTAAATGCTGTTCTTCAGACATACAGACCAATGGAATTGAATAGAAAATCCAGAAATAAACCCACAGATTTATGGTCAACTAATCTTTGACAAAGGAGCAAAGACTATGCATTGGAGCAAAGAAAGTTTGTTCAATAAATGGTGCTGGGAAAACTGGGTCGCTACATGCAAAAGAATGAAGCTTGACCACTACCTCACACCATACACAAAAATCAACTCAAAATGGATTAAAGAACTAGACATAAGACCTAAAACCATAAAATACATAGAAGGAAATATAGGCGAAACACTACGGGACTTGCACATCAAAGACATCTTTACAGACACATCACCCAAAGCAGTGATAGTGAAGGCAAAGATAAACAGCTGGGACTACATCAAATTAAAGAGCTTCTGCACAGCAAAAGAGACAATAACCAAAACAAAGAGAAACCCCACCAACTGGGAGAACATTTTTGCACCCAACACTAATGATAAAGGACTGATCACAAAAATCTGCAAAGAGCTGATGAGACTCAACAACAACAAAGAAAATAACCCAGTCAAAAAATGGGCAGAAGAGCTAAAAAGAAACTTCTCTGAAGAGGAAATGCAAATGGCCAACAGGCATATGAAAAAATGTTCAACATCACTTGTAATCAGGGAAATGCAAATCAAAACTACCATGAGATACCATCTTACACCAGTGAGAATGGCACATATTAAAAAAACTAGCAACAACAAATGTTGGCAAGGGTGTGGAGAAAAAGGAACTCTTCTGCACTGTTGGTGGCAGTACAAACTGGTCCAACCACTATGGAGAGCTGTGTGGAGATTTCTGGACCTACTAAACATAGAGCTTCCATATGATCCAGCAATTCCACTCCTAGGTATTTACCCAAAGGACACAAACATCAATTCCAAAGAACACCTGCACCCCTATGTTTATAGCAGCACTATTTACAATAGCTAAGCTTTGGAAACAGCCCAAATGCCCAAAAATAGATGACTGGATCAAGAAGATGTGGTACATATATACCATGGAATATTACTCAGCATTCAAAAAAGATAAACACATGCAATTTGCAGCAACATGGATGGCGTTGGAAGGGATCATGCTCAGCGAAATAAGCCAAAAAGAAAAAGAAAAATACCGGATGGTCTCACTCATAGCAGGAATCTAGAAAACTTAAATAAGGGACCAGGAAAATGAACATAAGAAAGTGAAAATCAAAATCAACAAAAAACTATGAACCAGAGACAGTTTTTGGGGGGTGGGGGGCGGGAGGGGAGGGATTGGGGTCAGAATGGGGGGTTTGCAAGTGTATGGGGGAATATAAAAATAAAATTTATTATTTAAATTAAAAAAAATAAATAAATGTTGTTCTTATGATCTGGAGCTTTTTAGATGAGTCAGTTATTTGAAATAGGTCAGTGTTCACCCAGTGCTCAGAGTAACCAATAAAACCCCTCAGTTTGCTATTAACATTCTGTTGAGGGCCTCCCCGGTGGCGCAGCGGTTGAGTGCTGGGTTGCAAAGCTGCCCGCAGCCTCTGTAGTGCTGGCTCGATCCCCAGCTGCTCCCCGGCCACTGGAGGAGGGTCCCGCATGGCGCGCAGACC